GCCTCGTTTCGCTTCGACGGCTTTCAGCCTCACCCTGCTTCATTCTACTACGTTAATAAATCATTAGCTCATCCATGAACATGATTTCTGCCGGAGTCCACTCAGGATGCATCGGCTGTGGGGATGAAGACGACAACTCCCATGATTCCACACTCAAGTCACAGCGTCATCAAACTACGCCTTTGTCTCTTTGTTTATTTTGAGTACGCGCCCTCTAGCGGCGAAAATTACATATTGTGCCTTTAACTAAAAGCATTAAAACTGAAAAAAAAAGTAGTTTTAAGTATGGGTAGGAAATCTTTTTAGTGCATTTAAAGTTCCTACAGGCTTAAAATTAATTCCTTTAAAAAAGTAGTTCACCCAAAATTGTAAATGTATTTACAATATTTTCTGTTTTTCTGTTTCCTCACATAAATCTAACATGTGACTTCAGAAGATGACGAACCATTTGCACATTTTTACTTTCATTATGTGAAAAAGAGTGGCCAGAATATTCAAAGATTCTCCTTTTGTTGATGAAATAATTTCAATTTCTTTAATTTCTTAGTGAACTATTCCTTTAATATTTTAAAGAGATAGTTCAGCCCCCAAATTAAAATTCTAGCAATTGTAGATCTGGCGCAACTGCTACTCAAAATTTGTCTACCGTGCCGTATAATTCTAGAGTATTCATATTGCCAGTGAGAACATAGAAGCTAATTATAATTGGTTCTTTTCATGGTGGTGTGGTTTTTCAGAGCAGGAAGACTGAGCCAGAAACTGTTCACACAATCAAAATTGCTTCTAACTCCACTGTTGTTCTTGAACACCAACAATGAAGTAAATCAGAGGACAAAGAAATGCATTTCCGCTCATCCAAAGAGTTTGGTGTTAACTTGAAGCCAATATTTCAAAGGGATAAATGGAATTTCATCCAATTATATTGGTTTCAATGAAATGATGAGATCACAAACATCTAATCTGAACAAAGATCATACTGTTCAGCAGCAAACCAGGATGTGCATTTAATGATTTGGACATGTTTTGTAATGACAGGTGTTTAATTTGTTGTCAGTTATCTCCTGCGAGTTGATGAATAGTAGTTGTCACTTTCTAAATAATAGACATGGTATTTGCCTCGGGTCACGAAATGAAAAGCAATTCACCTCGGCAACCGAGGCAGTTAATCTCAAGACCTGAATGTGAATAAGAGGACCATGATGGGCCAACAGAAGCTGTCAGTTCCATTTTAGAGGTGCAGTGCAGCAATTAGAAACTGTTTTCAAAATGCATCACATCTCCACTGGCCAGAAAGAATAACCTAAACAAATGAAAGGTAAACCTGTTCTAACTTTCTGAAAACAACCTCTCCATCCTCTCCTATTTCTTCCTGATGGAGAATTAGACAGAAGAGAATGTCATGGACATTAATGAGGCGCAAAAAAGAAAAGTAATTTATAATATTTACATGAAATCTAGAAAATGCCTTTCATGCTACATGAAAGAGGAAAATGAATTGTGACTTTTTAGCTCACAAATCAGACTTTGTTCTTGCAATTCTGAGTTTATATATCACAATTTGGAGTTTCAGAATTGCAAGATAAAAAAATTGTTCTTGCACTTTTGAGTTTTTTCTCAAAATTCTGAGTTTACATCTTGCAATTTAGACCATTTTTCTCTGAATTTTGACTTTATCTCTCTCTCTCTATTTTTTTTTTTTTTGCAATTGCACATTTACTGTATATTATATATATTTTTTTATTCCGTGATGAAAACAGGCTTCCATAGAAATATGATGCTTATCACCTAAATGTGGAAAAACAGTTGAACATACTGCTATAAACCATTGGATGAGATCCCTAAATTGGCCATCAAGAAATGTAGAACTCCAGCCCTTCGAAGTACATGTCAGGATCAGAATGACTCGGCTCACTTTTATTAATAAAAAAAGATTTGGAATGACCTTGACATATCTCAGTGAGGAGGCAATTAGTTTTTCCAGATGATAATTACTTGTAATGTGTCTCCTTTCATTTCAGCACCTCCATTCAAAGGGGCAGAGCTTAATCACTGACCCCCAGCTGACTAGATAAGATTTGGGAACAGAAATGAGCTTTAAATGTGCTTATTATATGAGCAGAAGTAGACTAATGTTTATTGTCATTTGTACATTTTACTGTCTGCATGCTATTAAAATGCATATTATTTATACAAATTGTCTAATTATGTTTATATAAGTGCAATCAAAAAGCTTTTCTAGTTTCCCTCATATGTTTAATAAATGAGAGAATTTTAATAGTCTTGTCATGGCATGACATTTCTGAAACTTAACTCATATGGAAACACAAATTTGTTTAAAATTAAACTTAAATTGCCCTTTTAAAAAGCATTCTAAACCAGACTAAGCTGGTCATGGCTGGTCCCTCAGCCCCTCATGCTAGTCTAGCTAGTCAGAAAGCACATACATTCAGGTACGAATGTCATCAACACATATTACCGAAAAAACAATGCTTGCATATATATCGTTTTCTGTCCTTTATGAAAGCGACTGAATGAGTTAAGCAAAGCAACGCAGAAGACCTCGCTCCCAGCAAAATATTCTCTGCAGATCAAGAGCAGTCACAAACAGCCAGGAGTTGTTTTCTTGTCGATCAGATAAGAGCTTTTGTGGCAGTGGGAGGACTGTATTTTCTATGACTAAATAAACTCATGATTGTGCCACTAAAAATATACCACCTTGCATCACACTTGCAGCGTGAAACAGAATTGGTTGACCTTGCCTATCAGAAAGGGCATGTGACACATTCCTCACCTATAAATAAGTAAATGCAAATGTCTTAAATAATTGAATTTATTACGAAACATGTCCCACAGGCCAAGTTGGGAAAATTTTTGCTTCAATTCATGCCACCAACTCTATGCAGATACTTTAACAAATTCAAAACGGTTTGTATTATGTTTGGAAATAAGTGTTGTTAGGTTCAGACACATTTTAATTTAATATTTTGATTGTGGTTATTTTCTGTGAAGCTTGAAAAAAAATTGAGTAATTGAATACTTTGCTTTCCGTCATCAAAAAGGACAGGAATACATAAAAATTGTGAACATATAGAAGCTAGATGATTTATTACAAGTGTTTGGTTTGTTTGACGGAGCTTATCTGAAGCAATCAGATGATGTTTTAATCAAACAGATCAATAGATCTTCTTCCACGACCGTAAATACAGTTGAAGGGGCAGCATTGGATTCCTCTTTTGTAGGCTGGGGTGAAACACATCAAAGTCTACTTTCCTCACTCTCCGCAGGTAGTCCTCCAAAACAACCTGAGGGACAGAACACAAAGACGCTCAGAAGCTATTCATTTAATTACTTTTGTGCAAGCCTGGAGGATGGTACATAACTGAAAGAACTTAAAAGTACAAAGAAAAAGAACGAAAGGCAAAAATTATACAGCTGGAAATTTATTTTCATCAGCGATTACTCCAGTCTTCAGTGTCACATGATACTTCAGAAATCGTTCTTATAAGCTAATTTGGTGCTTAAGAAACATTTCTTATTATTATCAATGTCGAACACAGTTGTGCTTAATATTTAAACAAAATTTTTTCCAGGATTCTTTGATGAATAGAACGTTCAAAAGAACAGCATTTTTTAAGTGTCCTTGCTGAATAAAAGCATTTAATTTCTTTAAATAAATAAATAAATAAAATAAAAGTCTCATTGACCCCAAACCTTTAAACAATATAGTTATCCATGTAAAGATTCACAGTGCAAAGCGGGAGAGCGCATGTTAATTCCTAGGCTACGGATTAAGCCAACCAGTCCTATAAAAATGTTTATGAGTTTGCAATTAACAAGAACACCTAAGGGTTCACATACTTTTTCCTGCGACTGAAAATTAACCAAAAACAATCCTCAAATGCCAAACCTTACAGTAAAGTCCTTTCGTGAGAACACGGTTACGATTAACTCCAGCTAAACCAAGTGGAGCGCAATGTGTCACTAAACGGCCTGCAGTGAAACGATGGCTTTAAAGAATACGAATGACAGTTAAACACAGGGATGTGGAAATGGAAAGAGCAGAATGTTACAGTGATAGAGAGTGAAATAAAAATGCTTTACAGGCAATTTCGTTCACAGAAAGCATTTCACTGGCCGAAGCAATTGAAACACTGAAGCGTCGACAAACAAGCTGAAATTGGACTGAAAATTTCAAACTGCTTCCCTATGCTTGGCCTCGTAATATGCTAAGAGTTATTCCCTCATCTCCTCTCAGGCGGTCTCCCTTTAAGAGAAATTACTGTAAAAGAGTAAAAAAGGCTTAAGATGTGTAATCAGACCATGAGCTGGTAGTGGTGCCTCCAGGGGGCAGGAGTCATGTGGGTCGATGAGGCTCCGCCTCTTTTGGAGGCAGAATGAGGATAAGCCATGAGCTTCTCTGTGTCACATCACATTAGTGAGGCGTAGGGAGAGGAGAGGAGCTGAAAGAGATGAAATTACTCACCGTTTGCAGGAAGGCAGGCATGGCCGCATGTGGAACGTTCTTGCTGAATGATCTAGCCTGTAAGTGTAATAATGGGACAAGATATCAAAAACAAGATATCAAATTCTTACATAGTAATCAATCAATCATAGTAATACATCACACAAGCCTTAGGTGAATCTCACAGTGAAACAAATTAGGTCAAACAAACCTGGACATGTCCAGAGCATATTTCACCTTAACATACAAAAATAAATAAATACTTAAAAAAAAAAAAAAAATCATATTTTTCTTTGAAAATGTAGCATGACTTTATTTTCACGACAGTTCCATAATCATTCTCAATGATAGTAAATGCTGTACTTTTTCTGATCTGAATAAATGTTGTTTTATTTTGTAAGAATTATTGTATTTTATAAAACTGTATAAAAATACAATACTTTACAGTACTTTCTCATTATGTTTTCATTTCTTTAATACAGTGATTTGTTTTACTGTATTACAGTAGGCCTGTCACGATAACAACTTTTTATTGTGCGATATATTGCCCCAGAAATAATTGCGATAAGCGATATTATTGTCATTTTAAAGACCATTTTATGCCACTGAATATATAATCATAATGTAACAGCATAATAATGCAAGAAGGCCTACACACTTCCAAATGACAACAAA